GACACTGTCCAATGCAGCCCAGACACACCAACTGCGGCGGCTGCGGGGCCCTGCCAAGTGCCGCGAATGTGAGGCTTTCATGGTCAGCGGGATCGAGTGTGAGAAGGTGTGGCCTGGGCTGCCTACCCAATGACCTCCCTGACCCCAGGCACCTCCCTGAGCTGAGATTCCCTATGACCTTCCCATCCTGGGACCTGCCCTGATATGATAACCTCATGTGAGCCCCCTGCCCCCTGAGGATCCCTATGGCCTTCTCTGACCCCACTGACCCCTGCTGACCTCCCTGACCCTATGACCTTCCCCTCAGTGCTTTCTGACCTGCCACAAGCGCTGCCTTGAGACTCTACTGATCCTCTGTGGACATAGGAAGCTCCCAGCCCGAACTCCCATCTTTGGGGTTGACTTCTTGCAGCTGCCGAGGGACTTCCCGGAGGAGGTGCCCTTTGTGGTCACCAAGTGCACAGCAGAGATAGAACACCGTGCCCTGGGTGTACAGGTGTGTCTTGCCCCTTGCCAGTTGACTATCCCCACTAGTGACCTGGCCCTCTCAATGGCAAGATTGCAAGCCAGGTGTCCATTTCCTGCCCCTGCTCTGCAGGGCATTTATCGGGTCAGTGGGTCCCGGGTCCGAGTGGAGCGGCTGTGCCAGGCTTTCGAGAACGGCCGAGCATTGGTGGATCTGTCAGGGAACTCTCCTCATGACATCTCGAGTGTCCTCAAGCGATTCCTCCAGGAGGTGGGTGCTCAGGGTGCAGGGCCGGGCGGGCTCAGGCTGAGGACCCTCTGCAGCTCACCCACACCTGTGTCCCCCTCACCGTTCCACCCCCAGCTCACTGACCCCGTGGTCCCTTTCCACCTCTACGACGGCTTCATCTCTCTGGCTAAGGCCCTGCATGCAGACCCCGGGCACAACCCCGGGACCCCCAGCCCCAGCCCTGAGGTTATCCGCTTGCTGAAGAACCTCTTGGTGCACCTGCCTGACTCTAACTACAACACCCTGCGGCACCTGGTGGCTCATCTGTTCAGGTGTGCACTGTCCCTGATGTTGAAATGTGACCCAAGGAATAGATCTGTGACCCTCTTCCCTGGACCTGGGACTACCGACCTCTGAGACTGACCCCTGACACTGACCTCTGACTTTTGCATGTGACTTCTGAGCTATGAACTTTAATACATGACTCCTGACTTTGCATGCTGACCCCTGACACTTGTTGCTGAGCACGTGGCTATTGGTCTCAGACAATGACCAGGACCACTTACCCATGACTTGGGCAAGTTGCCACTAGCCTGGCCTGCAGGTCCTACCTGATGACCAATGACCGTGTACTCCAAGCCTTGAACCTTCTCACACCATCCCCAGGGTGGCCGCACAGTTTGAGGAAAACAAGATGTCTGCTAACAACCTGGGCATTGTGTTTGGACCAACGCTGCTGCGGCCACCAGATGGCCCAGGGACAGCCGGTGCTGGCCCGGTCACCTGCCTGCTAGACTCCGGGCACCAGGCACAGCTTGTCGAGTTCCTCATCATGTACTATGAACAGATCTTCGGGATGGACGAACTCCCCCTGGCTGTTGAGCCCCCACCGCAAGACCCCAGCCCAGCCCCCGAGCCCCTCACAATCAGCCCCCAGATACAACCCCCAAACCTTGCTCCAGACTCCCTGCCCCCAGCCCTAGCCCTGGACCCTGACCCAGACCCGGAGCCCCACAGTGCCCCTGAGGAGCATCTCGAGGCCACACCCTCTGAGGTACGAACCCTCTGGCCCACAGACGTGAGAAGGGCCTTCTCTCCTTCTAATCTCTCTCTCCTGTCTTCCTTCTCTTTAAAATTTTTCTTTCTTTCCCTCTTTCTCTTCTTTATGTACCCTGTGCTCATTATGGAAGGAAAAGTAGGGAATGGAGTGGTGGATAATAATGGGATAACAACAGGGTACAAGCCCTGAAGAGGTACTAACATTCATTCCTTTAACAGAATAGTCATTGAACACCTATGTGCCAAGCATTGTTCTAGGCACAACAGATACATCAATGAACAAAACATTTAAAGACCCAGCCTCTTGGTGCCTGCAGTCTAGTGGGAAAGAAACCAACAATAAAAACAAGAAATAGGATACAAAGTTAGTTCTATAGGATGTTACAAGGTCGCAAGTACTCTGGAGAAAAGAGTAGCATAAGGTAAGGGACATTGAGGACACCAAGGTGAGAGATGGGCAGTTGGTAGCAGTAAGTGGGATGCTTTGGGCAGGTCTCATGGAGAAGGGGGTTTGAGCAAAGACTGGAAGGATACAAGGGAGGAGTGAGTGAGGTGGAGATCAGGAGTAGGGTGTGCCAGGCAAAGGGAACAGCCAGTGCAAAGGCCCTGAGGTGGGAACACGCATAGTGTGTTAGGGCACAGCTCCAGCCTGTAATGAATGAGTGGAAGGTGGGAGGAAGTAGACCAAAGAGGGGTCATGGGCTGCCCTTGGCTGCCTGCCTACTATGCTCACATGCTTTACTAGCTTCCTGTCATCCTCACCACAGCCCCGGGATGTAGATACTGTTAGTGAAAACCTTTTACAGTTGAGAATCCTGCAGGGGGCTCCCCTGTCCCTCAGATACTGCTACACCCTCCCTTGCTGAGAGCAGACTTCCTGAAAGCAGAGCAGCCCAGAGCTGGGAAAGCATCTGCTGGTGAGCCTGTGCATCCGTGCAAAATGGAATGACCAAGAAAGTTGTTAGGATGTAGAAAGAACTCCAGCCACTATGAGCATTTAGCTAAAGGATAAAGTAAAGGATATACAGATAAACTAAGAAGCAGGTATAAGGTCACAGAGAACACAGCAGGATGGAGACAGATAGTTTATCTTGGTCTTAATGCAAAGATGGCTGAGTCACTCCCTGGGCTGGCCCTCTGCTGAGCAAGGGTGTCCTTATCCTCAAGGAGCCCACAGTTGAGCTTAAGAACATTGCTCTGGGCACTACACTGTTAAGGGCATTATCTCCCCAGATACAAAAACTGCAAAGGAACTCTTGCGTGTCCAGGAACAAATGCTCAGCTCTCCAAGAATCTTGAAGAACTGGGATTTTATTTTGGGGTCTTGGTCTTGGGTTTCTCCCTGCAGACTCCAACTCCACAGAGTGACCAGAGAGGGGAAGTGGCCGAAAACACCAAAGATGAGGGAGGGGAAGGTGAGTGTGTTGGGGTGGTGGTGCAAGAGTTCTGGGGGGGTGCCCCTGCCCCCCCATGGTAGCTTGGCTGAGAGATGATTCCCTGGGGAATATCCAGAGGACTTAGGGGTGCTCAGCATTGATCACCCATCCCACAGTGTCCAGCAAAGGCCCTGAGGACTCACTCCTGGGGACACAGTCCCGTGGCCACTTCAGCCGCCAGCCAGTGAAGTATCCCCGGGGGGGTGTGCGGCCTGTCACCCACCAGCTATCCAGCTTGGCCCTGGTAGCTTCCAAATTGTGCGAGGAGACCCCTGTCACACCAGTACCCCGAGGGAGCTTGCGGCGGAAGGGACCCGGCAGCACCACCTCCTCCCCTGAGGGGAGCCCGCTGCGCCGCGCCCCATTGCCCAAACATTTTGAGATCACCCAGGAGACAGCCCGGCTGCTCTCCAAGCTGCACAGTGAGGCTGTGCCCAAGACTACCTGCTGCCCAGACCCCCAGCCTGAGGAAACGGATGACCATCTCTGACCATCCCGGGACTCTTACCAAGAGGCCTAGGACTGAGAAGATGGTCCCATTTCTCCCAGTAGTTCAATGTTGGAGCTTCTGGAAAATTACTATCAAGAAAAGCTATGTGGCCTGGGGGAGGATTAAAACCCTTTTTGGGGCAATGTACTCAGATCCCCAGACTAGACACAGGTCTGCCAAGCATCAGGGCCACTCAGGTTCAGAGGTTAGCTAGGGTCAATATCAGTACTCAGGGTCAGTACAGGTCACGGGATCATTGGGGGTCCACCCCAGTCTCTGACCTCTGGGACAAGGTGTGGGGGGAGGCTTTTGCTATTTTGCTGTGGCCACTCCCCCACCTGCCTGCCCTCCTTGGCTGAGCCCAACTGTCCAGCTCTTGGAGGGGGTGGGCAGCCCAGACTCAGCATCCTGGTGGTGCTGGAGTCTGATGGCCACCGAATAAACTGTGTCCTTTATGCCCTTGAGTGCCTTTCTTTTGCCAGGGCAGGGTGACAGGGGAGAGGTCAGCAAGGGCAAGCCTCCTTTGGCCCCATTTTACCGACGAGGGGAACCAAGACCCCCTTTCTTAAATCCCAAACACCCCTACACATTTCCAGGCAGGAGGGGCTGGGCTTGGGCACCCGGCTGAGTCACGCCGGCCCGGCCCTCCCGGAGCTCGGCGTGCTGATCCGTCCTGTATAATCAAACAAATATAACAGAGTGCAGATAACCGGGACAATGGGGCTGTGTGCTCCGGGCCGTGGGAGCCCTGGACGGGGCGGGAGGCAGCACTGCCGGGGGAGGGGTCCCGGGGGCGGGATTGCGAGAACTCGACGCGGCCGAAGGGTCAGCTGGGGCGGAAAGGCCCTGGGGGGCACCAGTGACGGCCGCGCGCGGCGGTTCTCAGCTTGGGAGGCGGAGGCAGGGCCGGGGTCCCGGCGGTGGGAGGTCGGTCGGATCAGGGCGTGGCTTGGAGCTCAGCGATGGATTGGACGCGAGGGAGGGGGCGGGGTGGGGCCGGGGAGGGGGCGCGGACCCTGAGATCCCCCCCTGAGCTGCGCTCCGGCGGCGCGAGGTCACCGCGGGACCTCTCCAGCCGCGAGGGCCTCAGCCCGCGAAGGCTGCAAGCTGCGGGCGTGTGAGGTGTGCGGGGGCCCGTGCGAGGTGGGAGTCCCGCGCCGGAAGTGGAGAGGTGCGACCGAGGGGCCTCGAGGCGGAGAGGAAATAGGGGGGCTGCGGTTCCGGGCGACCCCGTCCTCGCCGCGGCCGCGGAGGAGGGCGTTCCCCAGGTGGCAGGGCCGGGGCGGGGCGCCGCGGCCGGGGCGGGGGCGGGGCCGGGGCGGCGGGACCCCGCCTCCCGCGCTCCTTCGGCCGCCCGCGGCCGGCGCGCCCTGAAGCTCATCGGCTCCCGCCGAGGTCGCTGCGCCATGGCTCTGGGGCCCTCCCTGACCCCCCACGAGGGCGCCCTGTCTGCGGCGTGACGGGCGGCCCAGGTGAGGCAGGCGCCGACAGGGGCGGGTGGGCGCGGGTCCCGGGGCGGGGGCGGCATGTGCCCGCTGGGTCCGGGCGCCACCCACTCCTCCCCTCCCCCTTCTCCTTCCCCAGCCTGGGGGCACCGGGAGGCCCGACCAGCCCCCGCCTCCCTGACCGCCCCCTTTGTTCCGGAGGCCGCCAGGGTCCTCGGTCCTACGTGAAACAGCTTGATGCCCGCATCGGGAGCACTGGGTGCCCAAAGTACGCCGACCAGCCTCTGGAGCTGCCTCCCTGTCCACCCTGGTCACACCTCTCACCTCCAAGCCCTGGCACTGACCGCCTACCGCCTGCAGGGTCCCAGCAGTGTCCCCCCACCCTGCGCACACACGCTCCCTGGGCCCTACTTTGTGCACTGAACCCAGCACCAAAGGACCCTCCCTGAGCGACTTTTACAGCTCACGCCCCTTTGTCCTGCTCTAACCCCCACCCCCACACCGACGCAGGTTGGTGGCAGATTGGTGCCCAAGGGCAGATGGGTTTTGTTTTGCTGCTTTAGGTTAAAAAACAAACAAAACCCAGACAGTCTTTTGATTTGGGGGATATCTTTAATAAGAGTTTTATTAGTAAATAAGCAACATCAGCCTCACCTCCACAGAGCTAGATTTTCTAGGTCACTGTGGTCCCCACCGCCACTTTGTATCCAGGCATTTGAGTCTGAGACCCTTGCCCTTCCTGTCCTGGCCGGAGGCCCTTCTGGCTGCTGCCCCCTCCTCTGTCCTTCTAACAAGTTCCTCCTGCACTGACCTCTCCCTCTGTGCCCCCAGACGGTCGCCATGGGCCAGTGCTACTACAACGAGACTATCCGCTTCTTCTACAACAACAGTGGCAAGGAGCTCACTTCTCACTGGCGGCCCAAGGATGTGGTTGTGGTGGCGCTGGGGCTGACGGTCAGCGTGCTGGTGCTGCTGACCAACTTGCTGATCATTATGGCCATTGCCTCCAACCGCCGCTTCCACCAGCCCATTTACTACTTGCTGGCCAACCTGGCTGCAGCCGACTTCTTCGCTGGTGTGGCCTACCTCTTCCTTATGTTCCACACCGGCCCGCGCACAGCCCGGCTCTCAGTCAAGACCTGGTTCCTGCGTCAGGGCCTCCTAGACACGAGCCTGACAGCGTCGGTGGCCACGCTGTTGGCCATCGCTGTGGAGCGGCACCGCAGCGTGATGACCGTGCAGCTGCATAGCCGCCTGCCCCGTGGTCGTGTCATCATACTCATTGTGGGCGTGTGGGTGCCTGCGCTGGCCCTGGGGCTGCTGCCTTCCCACGTCTGGAACTGCCTCTGTGCCCTGGACCGCTGCTCACGCATGGCCCCCCTGCTCAGCCGCTCCTACCTAACTGCCTGGGCTCTGTCCAGCCTGCTTGTCTTCCTGCTCATGGTGGCCGTCTACACCCACATTTTCTTCTATGTGCGGCAGCGTGTGCAGGGCATGGCGGAGTATGTCACCAGCTACCCCCGATACCGCGACACCACACTCAACCTGGTCAAGACAGTTGTCATCATCCTGGGTGAGTGGGGCCTTTAAGCAGCCCAGGGCCACAGCTCTCCCTGACGGCCACAAGCCCTGCCAGAGCATGATGGGAGGGGAGGATCTGGGTGAGGAATGTTCTCCAAGGAGGTGGTATCTGAGCACAGACCTGAGTGCTGGGGAAGGGAAGAGTTCCAGGCAAGGGGAACAGAAGGTGAGAGCCCCAAGTAGGACTGGGCCAGCACCTCCAAAGAGAAGAGGGAGACTAGTGTGGCTGGCCCCGGAGCCAGAGGGAGGGTCAGCACGGCCCGCAAGGGCATGGACAGGAGTCAGATTTTGTTCTGAGTTCCCAGGAAAGTCCTTAAGAGTTCTTAGCAGGGAGTGACGAGGTCAGTCTGGCTGTTGACTGCAGAATAGTCTGAGGGGAGAGGTGAGAAGGACACATTCCCCAACCCTGAAAGCAAGTAGCAACTCCTCCCAATTATCCCCTTCCCCCGCTGAGTAACCAGCCTGTCCCACAGCCACCTCCCTTCCCCTACAAAACAAATCTCCATGTAGAAATGTCCAAGGTCCCGTCTACCATGTACCAGTTAGGAAAAGTGTCCCCTCCTAGCCATACTGCCCCATCACACTACCAACGTGGTAAGACAGGCAGTTCTTGCCCTGTAAGCTGTAGAGCCGTAACCTGAGCTCTGGAGAGGCCTGCCACCCTGAGCTCAGAGCTGCAGGTGCTGGGCCCCCGCATCCACAGCTGGCCTGCTCACTTCCGGCTCCATCCCTTAGGGGCGTTCGTGGTCTGCTGGACCCCAGGCCAGGTGGTGCTGCTTCTAGATGGTCTGGGCTGCAAGTCCTGCAACGTCCTGGCCGTGGAGAAATACTTCCTGCTCTTGGCCGAGGCCAACTCACTGGTCAATGCAGTGGTGTACTCGTGCCGGGATGCTGAGATGCGTCGCACCTTCCGCCGCCTCCTGTGCTGTCTATGCCTCCGCTGGCCCTTCCACGAGTCTGCCCACTACGCACCCACCGCCCAGACAGGCACCAGCACTCGCATTATGCTTCCGGAGAATGGCCACCCCCTGAGGGACTCCACTCTTTAGCCAACCTCAGACTTCAGCAGGGGTGTGGCAAGAGCCGTAACACAGCCCCTCGCCACAGGTCGATGCGCCCGGCTTTACCCAGTCTGTAGGCTTAAAGGCAGACCCTCAGTCTGGGGTAGCATGGCACTACTGCCAGCCCTCCCCAGGCACACAACTCTGTCTGCCCCCGGGCCTGGGGGCTTGGGGTCATCTCCAAGTGCCTGGAAGAGTCAGGTGGGGTTTGGGAATCTGCTCTTCAGTCATCTCAGGTTATGGGTTTTTTTTAATGGACATTTTTTCTGTTTTTACTGTACATCCCTGGTAGACCTCATGGGCTGCTTCACGGCAGTGTGGGCATTAAAGATGGGAGAGAGGAGGGCATACATGCTGCCAGTGTGACAGGGTAACAAAGATGGACCGTGGACGTACCATTTGCCTGAGGCGGATTCTTCAGGGGCACAGATTAATGGGTGCCGTGTGCAAGCTGGGAAAGGTTTGTGGCCCCCTGCAGTCTCTGCGGGTCTTCTCTGTCCTCGTTAGAATTGAAGGGGTCCAAGGGGAGGGTGTGATAGAAGGAGTAAACCTTTCTTTCCACTTTGAGGTCTTCAAAGAATTTTCTGTTGTCAACTCAGTCTGTTTGTTCCTGTGTCCCAGAATCATCCATCTCAGCTTGGGCAGGGCCAGGAGCCTTGAATATGGCATCTCCTCGACCCTGTTCTGCTGCTTTGGTCTCTGTGTGGCTGTTACTCTACCTCTCCTGTTGGAGTCTTGCTTCCGTTGCCTTCTGCTCTGAGTCTAGGTTGTTAACCGTCAGGTGTGTCATCCCATTGCCCACCCCACCACCTGTATACACACCTGCCGCCCGGGGTCATGGGGTCTATGGAGCAGGATGCGGATTTGAGAGTTGCTGTTTCTCAAGCTCCTGCAACGTGCCTGGTACACTGGTAAGCACTTCAGGAGCGTTATTTAATCATCACCCATATCTTGCAGCACAAGTATTACACTTATTTTCATGTGAGGGTAGTGGCCCAGAGAGGTTGGGATCTGACCCATGGTTACACAGCTTTGAAAAGGCACAGAGATGCATAAAGCAACTAAAGAGGCCCCTAGAGAAAGGGCTTCAGGTTCCCACAAAGTTTGGAGTTGGTCACAAGCTCACCCTGGCTTTCCTCACCCCACCCAAGGCCTCAGATATCCCAGACCCAGGATGAGCCCCCTCTTGGGTGCTCACAGAGGCCTCATGGTAGACACAGTGTAGACCAGGATCTGGATTCTCTGCTTCCACCTCCCCAGGGAGGAGACAGGGTTATGTCTCTGCTTCAGGTTCACATGCTCCATAACGGGCAGAATTTGAACACAGGCCTCTCATCAGAAGCCGAATTCTTAAATTATGAAAGCTCGTGTTGCCAAAGCTCCAAAAACGTCTAGGTCCTATATTAAATGGGGTTGGGTTTCCCTCTGGGTAAACTCCCCTGCCCTAAGACAGCTCTGTGAGGAGGCACAAGTGACCTGGGGTGCCGGGTACTTCTCCAGGTCCAAGGTGAGCAGCATGCCTCCTAAGGCCTCCAGAGGTGATGGCCCGGGCAGCATCTTCCACCACGTGCCCAGGCCCAACACATTCTATACTTGCTGTTTCTATCCAGCTGTAGGGTTGCCTTGTTGGGGAGCTTTTGAGATTGTTCTTGCACAGGCCCACATCAGTTATTCTCATCCCCTGCTGTCTCTTTGGAGTTCTCCCGTCCAGCCAGGGATGTCCAGATGGGGAGTGCATTTCCTCTGCAACAGCAATGGGAAGAAGACATCCCTGCTCTGAAGGACGCCCAACCAGGCTGAGGACCCTTTACAAGCCTGCATCTGGAGTCTGTCCTCAGAGCAAACAGGCTCCAGAAAGTCCCATGGCTTTGCAGAAGTGATTCACATCCAGCCTCTTTTCTCTTGCACGAAGATCCTTCTCTGAAGTCGTGAGTGCTAATGGCCAGAAACAAAGACCTGTGAAGATTCGCCCAGACTTGGGGTGCACCGCGGGCTGGGCCCTGGGGAAGCATCCTGTGTTCCTTCAGTAGCCAGGCGCTGGCATTTTCTGCACCGGCAATGCGGTTAGAGCAAGCAGAGTGAGTAGACGGGCCAGGTTACCCTTCCACCAGACCTTCAAAGGTGAATAGAATTCATGTGTGCAGGTGCCAAAATCACTCAGTTCTAACCTTCCACTACCATCACCCCACACACCTGCGCCCCTCATGGCAAGTTCCTAGGGGGAAAGCCAGGAGGCCCAGAGCCCTAGTGCCCAGGACCATAGGGGAGCAAGGTGGGGTATGGGCTCGGGGCTTCTGCAGATGAATGGTGGGTGTGGATGGGAATCTGGAACCGTGTGTGGGGGCTCTGAGGAGTGTGAGGACCTCTCTGAAGAAAAGCTGGAGCTCTGAGAAGTGAGGGAGCCTCTGAGGGGCTCTCAGAAGTGGGGAATCCGAGGAGGCGAAGGGTCTCAGCAGGAGGGGTTGCTCTGAGGTGCAGGAGACGAGCTGTGGGGGATGGGAGTGTGAAGCAAGCGGAGAGGGCCTGGCCGCTCTCCGGCGGGAGGAGCGCGAAGGTGGGAAGAGCCGTTGTCTCGGCAACTCGCAACTGAGTCCGGGTCCGCTGAAAGAGGCGGTTAGAGGCATGCCTGTGGGCGGCACCAAGCCCCCCGGGGCGCCGGCGGTTGGCTGGCGGCGGGGGGGAGTGTCCGAGGGTAGGGGGAGTCCCCAGGCGGGGGGCGGGGCCCTGCAGCGCGGGCAGGTGGCGCGGGTTGGCTGGCGGTGGGAGGGCGTGCCCGAGGGCGGTTGGCTGCGGCGCGCGCACCAGCGCCCCAGGCCCCAAGGCTCCTCAGCGCTAGCCCGGCCCCTCCATCCATGGATTCCCGCACCAAGCCCGCCGCGCCTTACGCCGCCGCCGCCGAGGCCCCCTCCGGGCCCCGACATGGGAGAGGTCCTGAAGCAGAAGTTGGCCGTCCCCGACCAGCGCCTGGAGGAGACGGAGGCCAGGTGCCGGGAGGGCTCGGCGGGGCGGGGACTGCCCGAAGTGGGGCGGGCCGAGGGGCAGGGCCGTGGGGTGGTGGGCCCCGGGGGTGAGGAGGGTGCCGCGGGAGAACGTGGGATGCGTCTCCGGGCGGAAGGTGTAGGGTCTCGGGAGGACCGAAGCGGGATGCCGAGGCCGCAGGGAATTAAGGGCTTAAAAGTAGGCCGGGCCGGGAGGTGTGTGGGGCCGCCCAGTGGGTGGAGGGTTTTTGGAGCCCGTGCTGGGTTTAAGGGGAGTTTGCGGCTGGACAGGTTGATGGTCCTGGTTTCCGTACTGTAAGAGGAGAGTTGGGGTGTGTAAGGGCTGAAAGATGGTGCAAGCAGGCTCCAAAGCGATTTGCAAAGCCTGGGAGGCTAAATGGATGGTGTAGCAGGATTTAGGAGAGAGGGAAGTTTTGAGGCCAGATAATGAAGAATTGTGGAGAATAGGGCTCCGGAACCTGGTGTGGGAATCCATCCAGAAAAAAGGTTAGTGGGGTGCAAGGAGGAGACACGGGACTCCTTTTTTATTAATGGGGCTAATATTTATTAGACACTTGGCTGTGTGCTGAGCATAGAGCTGACTGGTGACATAGTCCCTGCTCTCAAGCTGATGGTTTCAGGGAGAAAAAGTCAGTAGCAAAAACTCAATATAAATGGCAAGGTAAGCTGTAAGGGAAGGCATGGTGTGCTGTGGGAAGCCAGCCTCGGGGGCCCCAAGATGGGAAACAGGAGGAAGACAGCAGAGCCAGGGACTGAAAATCCCCCAGTTGAATTTGGAGGGAGGACAAAACCAATCAAACCCCTGCAAGTGTCAGGAAGGAATTTGGATCTTAGTTGCAGTGGGAGAAATCACAGCAGCTTTTAAGACCACCTGTCCCACTGCCTCCACCCACCAGTCAGCCAGCCAGGATTGGTGGAATCGGCCTCACAAGGCAGCCCATCAAGGTTGGGGCCTGCTTGAATTATTGGAAATTAGGAAAGGATTGAAGTCCTTTTGGAGAATGAAGCCTGGTTAGATAGGGTCTGTTTTTGGATAGGGATAGGACCAGGGTCTGCTGATGTGGACTGTGCAATCACTAGAACTCTCTGGTGAACAGCCACCCCAGGAAGGAGGAAGTGACATAGAAGGTGGATATGGCATGCATTTGTTCTTCACACTTTCTTTCCATTGCTTCTTGGGGAACTGTCAGTTCTTTCTGCAATTTCATAGCCTATATCTGGAAAGTTAAGAGTGCCACCCCTCCACTACCACCAGCACCATGTTCATTCTATACTTCTTGGTGCTCTTGCCAAGGGCTGGAGAAACCACAATGGCTAAGAGTTCTCTCCCAGCTCATTAGGAAATAGGGTGTGTGGGAGTTGTCATAACCAGAGTGTGCTGAGTACACATAATTTGTTGCACAAAAGAGCTAGACTGGAAGAAAGCAACCTTGTGTGATGCCCTGTCCCCTAGACGAGTACGGGAGCAGGGGCTTTGTTGTGCTTTGCTTTGTACTCCCAGTTGTTTGACACTTAGATTCTGGAAGGATCGGAAGGAGCTGAGGGAGGTAGGCTCTTCACACCCAAGAACCACCAAGCAAGGGCTTTGGGTGTTTATGGAGCTACCTGGTTCCTTCTGTCCTAGGTGGGAGCTGCTTAAGGAGCAAGCTCTGCTCAGGTGTGGCCTTCTTCAGGCATCTGTTGCCCAGCACAGCCCCAAGGCTGCTGCTTTTTTCTTTCTTCTTTTTTGGATGGAAATGACTTTTCAGGTACATACAGTAAAATGCACAAATCTTAGTGTACGTCTGAATGAATGTTGACATGTGTATACACTCATGTGACCATCACCCAGCTCAAGATACCAAACATTCTCACTAATTTTTTTTTCCCCCTTGACCTATTTCACCCATCCCCACCCCACCCCCACCACCACCATGGCAACCACCAGTCTGTTCTCTGTGTCTGAGTCTGTTTCTGTTTTATTTTTTTCTTCCTTTGTTTTGTTTTTTAGATCTCACATATTAGTGAAATAACATGGTACTTGTCTTTCTCTGTCTGACTGATTTCACTTAGCCTGATGCTTTCTACGTCGCTGCTTTTTTCTTGTAGCAGTCTCTCGAAACTCCCCAAGGTAGGCTTTAGAATGGAATGCAGTCAGGCACCTCTCCCTTGCTGTTCTTGAAAACAGCTCTTTTTCTTTTAAGGCTAAGAAATTAAATAGTGGGGCAATAAACATGCTTGACACCGTGGCTGTTAAGTAGCTGGTTCCTGGTTTCTAAGGTAGAAAGGCCTCTGGTGCTTTTATCTTGAGACTTGGAAGCTTCAAATCTGCCCCACTTCTTCGGATGTAGTCTTCAGATGAACTCTAGCCCTAAATATCACCCAAGTCTAGACAACAGTCTTCAGTCCTCAAGTGGGCCACTTACTCCACTCTGAAGAAAGCTTTGCTGGGTCTGGTCCTCCCTGTAAACTCTGCAGCCTGGTGGGTTAACCCACAAGGAGAAGCAGATAGTGTCTCTCCTGATCAGGGTGGGGTTTTACAAGTCTTTCTAACTCCGCCTTCTCTTTTCTGTCTGCCTGTTTCCCCTTCATAGTCCCTGGAGTAAGTTTAATTCAACTTGTCTGGCAAGAAATAATTTTCCATCTCAGATGTGAGGCCCTCTCAACCTGTTTTGTCACCATAAGTCTGTTTAAAAATGGAAAGCACACCTACCCTCCTTAAACCTGACAAATGCACCTTTCTGTATTATTAAGAAGGCAGCTCTAAGTGCCTGCTATTAATTCATTTTGTCATTATAGCTGAATAGTCTTGGAAAGTGAACTGTGTGTTGTACTTCCTTCCAGCTGCACAGATAGTGAAGGGACATGGGGACTTTGGAATGCACTTAGTTGAGACCCAGCCCAAATCAGCTGGAGACGTCCTGTGTGAGGGATACCAGTCTCCTTGAATGATCTTCTGACCTTCTCCGGCTATACCCCAAGGTCTTCCTGGAAGAAGGGACAGTTTTTTGTCTTCTTGATTTGGACCTTTCACTGATCACATGCTCATTCATTTCTTGTATGGGACCAGTAAGGCAAAAATGTTATCTCGTTCGCCAATGATTGTCTGAGCATTTTGCGCTGCATGCATAACCTTATTTTTTTTAATAATAATACGTTTCACAGTTTACATATGTTATTTCATTTGCTTCTTTTGACTACCTTTATGAGGGATTTATAAGGATCACCAGACTAGTGTTGAGGGCTCCTTTGTCAAGGCCATCAGGCCTCAAAGTTCTTGCCTCCTCCCAGGGTCCTCAGCCAGTGTTTGAGTCAGGGGCCCCTGTTGCAAGCTCCTCCTCCCCCTGCCCCCACAAAAAATGTGGTGTGCTTGTGTGCCACTCCCCCAGGGATCCTGAAGCCTCAGGTGCCCTGGAGTCTGGAAACCGCCTCTCATCAAAGGTTCATGGACTTATTTTTTGTCTAGTAGTGAGATTTCCTAAGAAGTCAGTATGAAAACTCTAGAGCCAGAAATGTCAGAGTGAAAAGTTTTAAAAACCCGATTGAAAAAAAAGAAGCAGAATGGCCCACAGGGTCATCCTGGAGACCCAGACTCCACACCTGATACTCTGGGAGAGGCAGCTGAAGAGGACTGGCACTTCTTCGAGTCACTGTGCACCCCACAGCGACAGGCGGGTTATGTGGCAGGACTGGAAGACTTTGGCCGCAGTGGCCCCCTCCTCACCCTTTGCCTGCAGGTGTACACTTGTAGCCTAGACGGCTACACCATCCACCGTGGTAGCCACTCACCATGTGTCTTTTCAAGTTAAAATGAAATATAATTAAACATTCAGTTCCTCAGTTGCCCTAGCTACATTTCGAGTGCTCAGTAGCCACATGTGGCCAGTGGCTGCCACATTAGTACAGACAGAGAACATTTCCATCATTGCAGAAAATACTGGACAGTGGTGCTCGCGAGCAGTGGCCACGCAGCAGATCTCTGTGGAATCTTATTGCAATGCAAGTTCTGATATACCAAATAGCAGGGCTTGGTGGGGCCCAGGGGTCCCCATTTCTAACAAGCTCCCAAGGGCGGCAATGCTGGTGATCCCAGACCACACTCGGAAAGGTCATGCTCTCAAGAGTGGAGATGATAGTGTCCTGTTTATTTCAGTTTTCATAAATCAGTTTTCCAAGTAGATGGTTAGTCTGGCAATTGGAAGTTATTTTTGAGCCAAGGTTGTGTTTGTAGCCATAATGGATTTTAAATTAGTCACAAGGGTCACATATTAGCATTGCTTGCCTGTTTAATATAGAAATAAAACTAGAAATGAATAAAATTCAGAGTAGTTGTTTTTTTGGTTTTTTTTTTACTCTAAATGAAATTCTTGGCCTGGGGCCATGAGCCCCTATTGTTTCAGAGTCTGCTCACATTTCCAATCTTAGAAATTTCTATCAGGTTTCAGAAGTTCCAGGGTTGTTTCTGCATTGCTTTATGTGGTCTATAAAGCTACAATTCAAATTTGTGTTTGTAGAACTTGAATGTAATAGAAAATGACTGCTGGAGAATGGTAATGAGGTTTTTAGGACAAAAAGACAATATATGAAATAAAGTGAATAAAAGTGTGACAGAGAGTAGTTACTGTTGTATCAGTTTAGGAGCAAGCGATATGGTATATGGGGTGGTGTACCTGAAACTGAAAGATTATAGTTAGAAGTTGGCTTTTAGGCTCCGTAACAGGTGCTACAGTTAAGGCCTCCATCGCTTTTCTTAGAAAAGATTTCTCTGAACTTTTTTTTTTTTTTTTACATTTGTGATTTGTTAGGTGTTTTCTGATAGAAATTTGCATAACCTTCTTAAATGCTTATTTCTTAATAAGAAATACTTAAATCCAGTATTTCTGCAAATTGACTTTGCTTAAATATGAATTAAGTTCTAGTTAGTAAAGGGAAATGATCTAATTTTCACTATCCTTAGAACTTACCCAAGTAACAAGGCACAAAAAGTCAACTGAATGGTACTTGGCTTGCTCCCTCTGGAGCACAAATAAGGGGCCCAGGACCTTGGGAAGTACGCCCATTAACACATGTCAGCCAGTGCTTCCATCACGCCCATTCAAAGAATGCAAGAAAGTCAAGGGAGGAATTTATGGTTTGGAATTTCCCAAAGCCAGATAGTGTTAGCACAGAAGGACCTCACAGTCCAAACTAGGAATAGAACTTCAGGGTTGAAATTTTCTTTTTCGTTATCCTTCAGGAGGTTCTTTAGATCCTAACTGACCCGGTGCCGGCAGTCTTTGTTCTTCGCCTGCTTGCAGATTTTAGCTTCGCCCTTAAATCAGCCCACTTAGCTCGGCTTGGTCTCCTGCCAGAAGCAAGTCTTGCTGTCTTCCCCGTACTTTTCCTGAGGCTTGAATTTTGTTGGTTTTAAAATAGTTTCCTGAAGCTATCTAAAATCTGAGATCACCGCAAAATCCCTCTTGAGGTGGTTTTATTAATAAGCAAAGCGATGGTGCAGAATGTTTCAGAAAAGTTGCGCAAGTGAGCAGGAACCATTCATTCATTCATTCAAGTGACAGTTGCTGAGTGCGACCCTCAGAGCCCAGTGGTTGATGAGGAGGATGACAGCCATGATTTCCCCCCTTTACATCTCTCAATAGCCCTAGGAAATGGTTTTTCAGAGTTTCTAGATGAGGAATTGGACTCCAGGTGAGGGTGGAGATTTGGCCATGTTCTCTTGACTCAGGTGCTGACATGCCACCCTCCCTGATACCCCAGGGCTCCCATAGCCTCACTAGAATAAGAGGTCACTTCCTGCTCAGAGGAGCTTGGAAGTGATCAGGTACTTCGGAAGATCTGACAGTCAGGCTAAGGCTTCAGAATATGCCTTTTAAAGTTCATCCTCCTGGATTTGATTTCACTTACTCAGCAAACCTTCATTTTTGTGCCAGACCGAGGGGTGCAACGATGATTCCCAAAAAGCTCAGGCCTAGAGTTCAGGCAAAGTCAGCCTGGGGGACAGGAGCACACTCCAGGGAGGTGACCATGATCTGCCAGGCTTTGCCCAGGCAGAGAAAGAAGGCATGGCGTTCAAGGCTGAGGGCACACACCTCTGCAGGGAAGGCACAGAGCGTGAATGCACGCAGTGTGGCTCCATCGGGCGAGTGGAGGGCATGACCTTCAAAGGGGCACTCGGCTGGGGTGACTGCTCGCCTCAGCTGCTGTCCCAGCAGGTTTTGAACTTGCTTGGCAAGGAGTGAGCATGCAGTTTGTCCTGCTCCTTGTATAAGTACTTCTCGAAGTGCTCTGACCTTCCTGAGTTACTGGTCCTGGATCAGAAGGATCAGTAGTCATTAGCTCCTCCATCAGCTCTTCTGAAGAAATGTCCTGAGACATTTATCAACTGTCTTCAGACTGAGCCCCCCGGTGGTTTAAGGGCTCCTGCTTTTATTTCTCAAGGAAGCAGCTTTCTCCTTCATAACTTCCTCCTGTCCAAATCTGTGTCTCTTTTGGCCTTTGGCCTTTTTTATCTGACTTCCCTCTTCTCATACAGCACTAATTAAAACCCCCCTGCTTTTCCTCATTCCTAGCGTGGATGAGGGCCCACAGTGCAATTGGCCCAGAAGAGGAGCTCTCGGGGGGCTCTGGGGGATCCTGGCTTCTGCTCCCTTCCCTGGCTGCGGAGCCCCAGGGTTCTCACCCTGGTTCTCCTCCACTCGCCCCAGGTCGGTCTGAGACATTGGCATGCTCTCTATCCTCCAACTCTCCATTTCTGCCCTCCACCAGGCTGGTGTCTCTAGCTTCTACCTTCCCTTCAGTTCTCAACAGGCCTTTGCTCAGCTCATGTGCCAAGGAAGGCGCTGGCCTGGCGTTTCTGAAATGGGTAAGTGGAGGCCTCACACCCAAGCCGGCCGTGGGAAGCGCTTTGCAGGGAGGAAGGGGGCGGTGAAGCCAGGCCGGGCCAGGCCGGCTCATCGGAGCCCATAGGCCTCCCCAGCCCAGGCAGCAGGGCAGAGAGAAGCTGGGAAGGAGCCCCAGTGCCCCATTCAGGGCTTGGGGCCCATCAAAGAAGGCAGGGAGAAGCCATTTCACCTTTCTGGTCAGGAGAGAAACTAGAAGTTGTGGTTTTGAGTAAGAAATTTATCAGTGGTGTTGACCAAGACGATCACGGACAAATTAGGAAATAATATATTATAATGAGTTTTTTACAGACTTAAACTTACTCCATCTAAAACCCTGCATATTTTTTCCTGAGACATAGATGGATGAAAAATTTTCCTGGTGCCAGCGCTAGGTCCTGATCCAAGGCTTCATTTTGCTGTAATTACTGTAATAATTTGTGAGGTCGAAGTTGGGTATCTGGACACATTCTCAACCCCCATGGATGTAAGTGTTTTTGTTTCTTTTTTTGCAGTTTATTTTTAGAGTGACCTCTACCAGTGATTAATGGCAGCCATTAACAGATTGCTTCTTCCCAGTTACACTTTTACAGAGAAACTTATTTTGAAATGCTGGGGGCATCTGACTCCTGGGCTGCATTCTTTTCTGCAACTCTGGACCCTCTGTGAAACTAGGCTTTCCTTTGAGGTTTTATTTCTTAAGGGTACATGTCTTCTAATTTTTGTTCTGTACCTAGGTCTGTCTCCAGGAGGTGCATAATATTGTTGACTGTTTTTGTCAGCTAAAATAACCCTTGTAGATCGCCATCATCGAAAAGACAAACAACAACAAATGTTGGCGAGGTTGTGGAGAAAGGGGAACCCTCCTAGACTGCTGGTGGGAATGTAAACTAGTTCAACCATTGTGGAAAGCAGTATGGAGGTTCCTCAGAATGCTCAAAATAGAAATACCACTTGACCCAGGAATTCCACTTCTAGGAATTTACCCTAAGAATGCAGCACTCCAGTTTGAAAAAGACAGATGCACCCCTATGTTTATCGCTGTACTGTTTACAATAGCCAAGATATGGAAGCAACCTAAATGTCCATCAGTAGATGAATGGATAAAGAAGATGTGGTACATGTACACAATGGAATATTACTCAGCCATAAGAAAAAAACAGATCCTACCATTCACAACAACATGGATGGAGCTAGAGGCTATTATGCTCAGTGAAATAAGCCAAGTGGAGGACAAGTACCAAATGATTTCACTCATATGTGGAGTATAAGAACAAAGGAAAATTGGAGGAACAAAACAGCAGCAGAATCACAGAACCCAAGAATGGACTAACAGTTACCAAAGGGAAAGGGACTGGGGAGGATGGGTGGGAAGGGAGGGATAAGGGCGGGGGGAAAAAGAAAGAGGGCATTACGATTAGCATGTATAGTGCGTGGGAGGCACGGGGAGGGCTGCTCAACACAGAGAAGACAAGTAGTGATTTTACAGTATCTTCCTATGCAGATGGACAGTGACTGTGAAGGGGTATGTGGGGGGGACTTGGTGAAGGGGGGAACCTAGTAAACATAATGTTCTTTCTGTAATTGTAGATTAATGATACCAAAATAATAAATAAATAAAATAACCCTTGTACAAACAAAACAAGAGGATTTGATTCCACCTTTGGTTGCAGTATTAGAGTTTTTGTTGCTCTCAGGAAAGCTTTTTCAAGAGGTATCCTGCCCTGTAGGGTGGAATGAATCTAAATATATCTGTAAATCAAGTTCCCTGGTAATTTTAAATGATACTTGTTAAGGATAGCAGGCGGTTCGGTATTTTGGAAAAGTGAATTCTACCTAAAATTAGAAGCTGTGATATGCTTGGTAGAAGCCAGAATGTGGCTTATGTTCTATTCGTTTCCACATTCTTTCTCCTGATTTAGGAACCAGCATATAGTAGTTCCTCAGCACATGATTGTCCTATAAATAGTGAATAAATGACATTGGAGGAAAATAAAGTTCTGTGCTTTCATTTGCTGGCATGATTCTGTATGATTCTGCTATAGATTCTTAGCATTGGTTTTAGAAGGATACTCATAGTTTTGTCTTGTTTTAATTTAATTTAGAAGAATCCTTAAAAGTCTTTTTTTTTTATATCGTTAATGTACAGTTACTTAAACAACATTGTGGTTACTAGACTCCCCCTATTATCAAATCCCCACAGCATACCCCATTACAGTCACTGTCCATCAGCATAGTAAGATGCTATAGAATCACTATCTGTCTTCTCTGTATATACTGCCTTTCCCGTGTTCCCCTCCCACTACATTATGTGCACTAATTGTAATGCCCCATTTTCCCCCTTATCCCTCCCTTCCCACAACCATCCTCCCCAGTCCCTTTTCCCTTGGTAACTGTTAGTCCATTCTTGGGTTCTATGAGTCTGCTGCTGTTCTGTTCCTTCAGTTTTTTTTTTCTTTGTTCTTATACTCCACAGATGAGTGAAATCATTTGGTACTTGTCTTTTTCCACCTGGCTTATTTCAGTGAGCATAATACCCTCTAGCTCCATCCATGTTGTTGCAAATGGTAGGATCTGTTTATTTCTTATGGCTGAGTAATATTCCATTGTGTATATGTACCACATCTTCTTTATCCATTCACCTACTGATGGACACTTAGGTTGCTTCCATTTCTTGGCTACTGTAAATAGTGCTGTGATAAACATAGGGGTACATATGTCTTTTTCAAAATGGGCTCCTGCATTCTTAGGGTAAATTCCTGCAGTGGAATTCTTGGGTCAAATGGTATTTCTATTTTGAGGTTTTTGAGGAACCTCCATACTGCTTTCCACAATTGTTGAATTAGCTTACATTCCCACCAGCAGTGTAGGAGGGTTCCCCTTTCTCCACATCCTCAACAGCATTTGTTGCTCTTAGTCTTTTCGATGCTGGCCATCCTAACTGGTGTGAGGTGATATCTCATTGTGGTTTTAATTTGCATTGCTCTGTTGCTTATAAGTCTTTTTATTGAAAGGATTTATTATTTCTCATTCATTAGGATTTTTCCTTCATAGACAGTAATATTTTGGTTTATTTCATGCAGATATTTAGAGTGGACAGAGCATGTCATGTACTTGCTAGAACCCATTTTCCTCTCCACAGGCCCATTCACTGCCTATAATCTGTTCAGCTGTCTCTGCTCTCTCTTGCTGTGTAACAAATTATCATAAACCTAGCAGCTAACAACATGCGTTTATGATCACACTGTGGGTCAGGAATCTGGGTGCAGCTGAGCTGCGTTTATGATCACACTGTGGGTCAGGAATCTGGGTGCAGCTGAGCTGGGTCCTGTGCTCAGGATTTCACAAGGCTCTAGTCAAGGTATCAGCTGAGCCGTGTTTCTTGTATGGAGCTCGGGGTCCTCTTCCATCTTGCAGGATTATAGACAGAATTCAGCCCCTTGCAGTTGTAGGACTGACTTCCCTATTTTCTTGCTCTCTGTCAGCAGGGAGTCACTCAGCTCCCGGAAGCCGCCTGCAGTTCTCTGCTCCGCCCCTCCCAAGGCAGGGCAGCTGGCTTCAAGGCCAGCAGGTGATGCTTTCCAGCCCAGGTAGGGGCGGTCACAGATAAGGTAACATAAGCGAGGGTGAGACTGTGCCATCACCTTTGCCTCTTTGCAAGATACCGATTCTGCCTAAACTTGAGGAAAGAGGTTGTACTTACTAGGGGTCACCTTCAGATGTGTGGTCACATAAATCAATCATACATCATAGTCACTGATGATTTCCCATCAGCTGCTCGATCACATGCCCAAAGAATGTTTCAGCATTTGTTTGCTTCTCATAATAAGCCACAAAAACATTCTGTGAAATTACTTTGTGTGCATTAAAAGGTGGCTTATACTGTATCTAAAATAAGATGTTTTATAAGCAGAAAACTGACCTGACAACAAATATTCCTAGACACCCCTTGGCAAGCCGAACAGCTGACTTCATTCTCTCTCCTGGTATTGTTAGGATTACATTTATAAAAGATAGCTAGCTCTAACTGGAGTCCATTTTCATTAATGGTAACACCGCTTCTACAGAAGGGAAACATTTTAGGCTGACTATCCTGTGTGATCAATTACTGTGTATGTACGAGAAAGCTGACATGTGGGCTTAGATTTACAAAAGACCACATCTCATCCCCCACAAACATTTTTGTATTCGGGGTTCAGAGACATGGACCTGACCCCTGCACCCCTGTTCTTGCCTTTGAAAGGCATCCCATAGGGGTGTGTGGTGAATTTGCAAGCACTTGGAAATGAGGACGCTCTCACATAGATGAACAGCCTAGGGGGTTGTGGCAGGGGCCCGGCCTTCCTCATGGTGTCAGTCATATTTGACTTCCACTGTAAAGTTCCTGATTCTCAGGTCCATTGTCTGGCCTTGGCAGAATCTTTTAATGATGGGTGCTTGGATGACAGTGTTACAGGAATGAAAATCATGGCAGTAATTGTTTAAGTACCGGCATAGTACATGCCCAAGTTGTTTACGGAAGGTCTGACACACGCACACCACTGTGATTGCAATTATCCCCGCTTTCTCTCTTGATGATCAGATTCTCCGGCATATGAACATGTGCTAGTGTCTCCTATCTTTAAAAACACACAAAGCCACCTAAAACCCGCCTTGACCCACCCTGTCTTGCTTTGTACCTGGAGTTTGTTTCATTCGGGTGTGAGATAACAGGCATGAAGACAACTTTGAAAAACAGCATTTATTACTTACAATTCCAGAGGTGGACACACGCCACACCATGCAGGGCCGCCTGGGCAAGCACCTGAGTCTGTCGGGAGGCTGAAGGACGAGGGGAAGGCATGGGTGGGAGCCTGTGTTTTGGTGGGCAGGAATGGGTGAGGCAGGGTAGACAAGCGTGAGCAAGTTCAAGGCTGGAAAGTTTAAATCATCCTGGCAAGCAGTGGTGGTAGGGGTGGTCTCTGGCTGTGGGGCACCTGGCCCTGGAATGACTTAGGGCCAGGGGAAATACTCACTGATGCCAAGATTTAGATAAAGAAGGTAGTTGCGGGTATGGGCTTTGGATTTGGGTTTGCATGTGAAAGTGATGCACTCAGGCGAGCTATTTGCTATGTCTGGAACTCTCTCTCCAGGTCCCAGATGTCAAAGCATCATAAAACAGAAAATAAACAAGATGAATGCACATCCTTCCTTTTAGCACCTGCTGCATTTCCTTACTCTCTTTTATCATCAAATGCCAGAGTTTGTGGCTGCTCTTCCACTTCCTTGCTGCCTCTACCCTTTCTCTCCCAACCTTCTCCGTCTGCTGAGTCACCAGTGACCTAAAGCCCCTCCTTAGGGCAGCCATAGGTATCTCACGTGAAACCCACTCAAAGCACAGTTCTCCTTGACAGGCCCTCCTCCCCCTAACCTGCTGCCGTCCAGTCTCCGCTATTGCACTTAAGTGGATGTCTCCATCCATCCAGTTGCTCCAGCCTGAAACTAGTAGTTATCTCCTCTTTCCCTAAAACCACACCAGTTTATCAGGAGGTCCTGTCAATTCCATCCCCCAAGTCAAAGACTTATCTACTACTTATTTCTACTACTGTAACTCTAAGCCAGCAGCATTTCTGGATTGTTCTAGTTGTAGCAGCCTCCAGACTGGTGCTCCTGGTTAAACCCTTGCCTTCTAGTATGGTCTCCACAGAGCAGCCACAGTGATCTTTTTAAAATGCAGTTTAAGGATAGGCAAATAGATCAATGGAATTGATTTAAAATGCAGGAATAAACCCATATACACCTATGGCCAGTTGATTTTCTACAAGAGTTACAAGACCATTCAATGGGGAAAGAATAGTCTCTTCAACAAATGGTGCTGGGAAAACTGAATCCCCACATGCAAAAGAATGAATTTGGACCCTTACCTTACACCATGTACAAAAACTAACTTAAGTGGATCAAATACCTAAGTGTGAGAGCTTAACTTATGAAATGATTAGAAGAAAAAGAGGCTTAAATCTTTATAATCTTGAATTAAGCAATGGTTTCTTAGATGTGACCCAAACACAAGCAACAAAAGAAAGATAAATTGGACTTTATCAAAGGAAAAAACTTTCATCAAAGCTTCAAAGGTCACTATCAAGAAAGTAAAAAGACAATTCATTGTATGGGAGAAAAGATTTACAAATCATTAATCTGATAAAGGTGTAGTATCTGGAATATATAAAGAACTCTAACAACTCAGTGATAAAAAGACAACACAAATTTAAAATGAGCACAGGATTTGAATAGACGTTTCTCCAAAGCATGGCTGATAAACAAATGAAAGGATGCCCGATATCATTAGCTACCAGAGAAATGCAAATCAAAACCACAGTGAGATGCTACCTCACTGGGGTGGCTGTAAATAAAAAAGGTAATGACAAGGGTCATTGTTGTGGAGAAATTGGAACCCTCAAAATTTGTGGATGGGAATGTAAAATGGTGCAGCCGCTTTGCAAAAATTTGCCAGTAACTCAAAAGTTAAACGTAGAGTTAACATATCACCCAGCAATTCCCCCTAAGCACGTGCTCACACAAAAACTTTTACATGAATGTTCATAGCAGCATTATTCATAATACCAAATGCGGGGAAACAAACCAAATGTCCAACTGATGAATGGATAAATTATATTCATATACTGTAATATTATTTGGTCATAAAAAGGAATAAAGCCTGGTGCAAATGACTTGAAAGAGCATGAAGACGCACTACATCAAAGATGCCACATACTGTGTGATTCCGTTTGCGTGAAATTCCAAAAGAGAGAAATCTGTAGAGGCAAGAAAGATTAGTGGTGGCTGGGTGAAAGGAAGGGAGACTGTAGAGGGGCTGCCCATGGGGACAGAGTTTCTTCTGGGGGCAATGGGAGTGTTCTGGAATTAGTGGTGAGGGCCACACATCATGAATTTACTAAAATACACTGAACTATATGTACACCTTTATGGGCCAATTTTATGATCTGTGAATTACATCTCAAAAAGTCAGTACTAATAAAAATGCCATCTGTGTCATATGATCACCACTCTGTAAAGCCCTCCGTGTGTCCTGTATTCATTTTCTATTGCCACACCAACAGATGACCACCAATTTAGTGGACTGAAAACACAAACGTATTGCCTTCTACTTGTGTAGGTTACACGTCCCATGTCGGTCTTGCCAGGCTATAGACGAGGCACTGGCACGACCCCTTTCCTTTTGGAGGCGGGGGGAGAGGCTGCTTTCTTGCCTCTTACAGCTGGTGGAGGCCACCTTGGTGCAGGCCTTTCCTCCATCTTCAAAGCCAACGGCGTAGCGTCCCTGAACCTGTGTCATCATATCTCCGACTGCAGCTGGGAGAGGTTGTCCACTCTTAGGGACTTGTGTGATTGCATCGTTCCGGCTGGCCTCCCCATCCCAGGGTCCTTGCCCACAATCACAGCTGCAGACTTCTGCTTCCCCCACAACATAGTCCCGGCTCTGAGGATCAGCACGTGGACATCTGTGGGGGCCATTCTTCCACTGAAAGCAGATCCCATCACAGGTGAACAAAAACCAGAGCCGTTTCCCTGACCTACAGGGCTCCTCCCGTCAGCCCCACTTGCTCCCCTATCTCACTTGATGGCTCGCTCCCTCGCCCCTTACTCTGTAACGGCATGACATCCCGGTGTCTTAAAAAGCCACGTGTGTCCTCACTCTGGGCCTTTGTCCTGGCGGTTCCGTCTGCCTGAATTATTATTCTCTTCTGCCCTTTTCCTGCCTGACTTCTCATTGTCATTCTGATCCCCTCAGATACCTGCCAACTCCACCAAGCCTTCCAGCCCTCACTCCTGCTTAAGTCACCACAGAGCACCTGCCCCGGCTGTTGGGTGTCTTGTCTGTGTGTTTGCTGGTGTCTCTCACCCCCTCTATCTCAGTGGCAGTAGTAGGACCTTATCTGTCTGTGTCTCTGTAACATCGGAATGGTGTGTGGCATCCAGGAGCTGTTACATGAACACCTGGTAGCATCGCTGACACTGGGATAGGGTGCCTGGGGTTTCTGCCTGGGCCCCAACAGCTCTATAGGGCAACAGTGTGAACACAGCTTTCGAGTCACTGGGCTTTGGCATTTGTGCTTTTTACATTATTTAAATTCACATTGTTTAAAATTCTACATATAAAGGGAAGTGTTTTGAATACTTGTATATTGCTCCACTTGAACTATGCACAAACTGAATTCCTTGAAATGCAATCGTCCTGCCCCTTCATGAGAGATGCCCAACGGGACTGGCAGGCTCCGAGCAGAGGGTCTTTACTCTCGCGGGCAGGGCCACACTTCTCTTCCTCACCCTCTCCTCTGTCCCCTCTCTTTCAGAAAGCGCTCGCTGAATTGCCATCGGATGAAGGCTGCTCTCTTCGGCGTGCTCTGTGAGATCAAGAAAAAGACAGGTAGGCCAGAGTGGATCGACGGCCTGACAGCCGTGCACCACAGGTTCTGACTCGGCCCTAACACGGTTGCTGGCCGTCCCGCCCATCACATCTCTCCAGCAGTGGCTGCTGGTGCAGAGGGTTCATTTCTGCCTTGCCGGTGCCCCGCTCTCTGGTGTATCACACATACGTCCTCCACAGTTTGTAACGAGAAATGCTGTTGTCGGTGTGCGGCAAGCAGCTGCATCCGCCTTCACCAAGACCAAAGGGGCACGTGGCATTCCATTGTTTTGGGAAAGGAAAAGATGATGGAGAAAGCGAATGAGAGCACCACTGTTTTATGTGAAGCATCGGAAGTAATGCAAGGAAGGCGGTGTCACTGCAAATCCTTTTGATTTAAAAAGAAAAACTCTATTTTGGCTTAATGTCAGATTTGCAGAAAAGTTGAAAAAGTAGTGCAGAGGGGTCCCCTATGCCCTCCTCCCCAGGCGCTCTGCTGTCAGCACCCTGAGACCCACAGGGCAGTGAGCCAACCCAGGAGCCTCGTTGGCCTCGGCGGGGTGCTGTGCTCTTTAACTGAGCGGCCGGCCTTGTTTAGATTTACCCCGTTTTTTTGTCCTGATGCCCCTTTTCTGGCTGGGGCCCCACCATGTGCCTAGTCACTGTGGCCCCTTCCTCTCCGCTCACCTGTGACAGTTCGGGCCTTCCTTTTCCTCCACAGCCTTCACACTTTTGCCGAGAACTGCTCAGCAGTTTTGGGGCACCCCGGGTGTGGGCTGCTGAATGTTGCTTTGCGATGAGACAGGCTGTGTGTCTTTGGCAGGAATCTCACGGCAGGGGTGCCGCGCCCTTCCTGTGCATCGGTCAGGGGTCCGTGCTGTCGACGTATTGCATCCCTGGTGGTGCTGACCCCCATCGCTCGGGCAAGGTTAATAGCTCTTCCAAGATGGTTTACAAGAGAGGCCACCCGGTAAGAAGACGTCACTGAGACCCAAGTCCATCAACAGAAACGTTGTCCCTTGGTTTCTTAGAGTGAGTTGGTCTCTTGAGGTCAGTTTTTTTGAGTTTTCTGTGCCACTTTGGAGCACGACACTTCAGATGTGCTGGGGGCTTGTGGAAGGTGTTTATGTGACACGAAAGTATGTTTCTTTCTGGGCACAGTTTTAGATCGAGCTGGACGTGTACTTGACGTGGGCAGTAGCCACAAGCAGCCATAGGGTCTGAATTCTGCTTCGCCTCCGGCTGCCTGGCCCTGGCCCATGCCTGAGCCATTCTCTGCCCTGGTCCTCGTCTGCGGGGACGAGGGTGGCACTCAGCTCACGGTCACTGAGGCCTGCGTGAGTCCCCACATTCAAGCTGTGGGCACAATGCCAGCTTCCAGCAGTTATCAGGTGATGCTAAAGGAGCATTACCTTTAAGTTTCACCCAAATGCTGTCAGGATGTGATTTTTTTTACTCTTCTACTGTTTGAGTATTTTTTATTGTGATAAAACATACATAAAATTTACCACTTTACCCATTTTTAAGTCTACAGTACATTTTAGTGGCATTTAGTGTATTCACATCATTGTGCAGCCATCACCACCACCCATTTCCAGAAGTTTTTCATCATCCCAAATTAGGACTCTGTCTCCGTCAAACACTAATTCCCCTTCCCCCAACCCTGGCTCATGGTGCCCACTATTCTACTTTTTGTCTTTATGAATTTGACTCCTTGAGAGACCTTATGTAAGTGGAATTATACAATATTTGTACATTGTGTCTGGCTTATGTCGCTTAACATAATGCCCTCAAGGTTCATTCATGTTGTAGCAGGTGTCAGAATTTCTCTCCTTTTTAAGGCTGAATAATATCCACTTCATGGATGGACCACGTTTTGTTTGTCCATTCATCCGTTGATGGGCATTTGGGTTGTTTCCACCTTTTGGCTATTGTGAACAATGCTGTGCACATAGGTGGGCAAATATCCTTTTGACACCCTGTTTTCAGTTCTTTGGAGTACATACCCAGAAGTGGAGCTGCTGGGTCATATGGTGATTCTATGTTTAACTTTTTGGGGAGCCTCCAGACTGTTTTCTTCAGTGGCTGCACCACTTTACATTCCCACCAGCCATGCACAGCGGTTCCAGCTTCTCCACTTCTCCAGCACTTGTTATTTTCTGTTTTTCTTTTTTCATGATAGCCATCCTACTGGGTACAAAGGGGCAGCTCATGGTGGTGAATAAGATATTGTTTTGTGCTTGTTTGACATTTTAAAGACTCTTTGATGACAGCACATTTTGGAAACCATATTATTTCAAAGAAATACCTCATGATTCTCTTGGTGTCACTCCTTAAACTGGGTAGAAGCTAACATTTTTTCTTATTATCTTTACCACCACTTCCCTTTTTCATAAAAGCCATCTGTGCTATATTTATGTTCTAATTCTTTTGCCTTCTAGTGCACTTTGCCATTTACAAAACCACAGCAGCCTAAGTTTTGTTCTCACAGGTTTGTTTGTATGTGTGCAACTTGTTTTGAAACAATTACAGATTTACAGAAATGTTCTAAGAAAGTACAAATACATTTTCTCCATGAAATATTGGAGAGTAAGTTGCTACCGCAGTGCCCCATGACCATCGCCCTTGAGCATGTGTTTCCTGTGAACATCCTCCTGCCCGCCTCAGGACAGTCCTCAGGGTCAGGAGCGGCACTGATACACCACTGCAGTGGAGTCCTCAGACCTTATTCAAGCTTTGCTGGTGGTCCCCATAACATCCTTTATGGAAAAGGATAGTTATCGTGTCCCTTGGTCTTTCTCCACCTGGGACAAACCCCATTCTTCTTTGACTTCCACAACCTTGACCAGATACCTGGAAGATCATGGCAGATTCCTCCATTTGGGTGTATGTCATATTTCCTCACAGATTTCTGCTACGCATCCTAAACGGGAATCCATGTCCTATGTACCACGTGCAGAGGCTAGTCAGTGGCACCCACATCCAGTCTGCCCCCTACTGGTGGCGTTGGCTTTGATCGCCCCAGTGAAATGGTGTCTTTCCGACTTTGGAAGGGGCCCCTTTCCCTCCATAGTAAGTATTCTCTAGGGAGGCACTCTGTGACCCCTAAATAACTCCATCCCTCATTATATTTTTCCACTTATGTGTGTACTTTGCATCAGGAGAGATTCCTGGACTCCTGCTTTATCCCAGTCAGTAACTGTCACCATTCATCCTGACGCTCAGGTTGTCACAGGTGCGGGAGCCCCTCTGAGCTGCCCACATGTCCTCCCGACGTGTCTCCACATCCGTATCCCTTGCGCACCCCCTTCCCTGCTGCCGTGACATGTTCTGGGCTCGTAGCCTACTCCCCACCCCAGCCGGAGTCCAACCCCTCTCCCAGGAGCCCCAGCTCCCCGTGGAGGAGATCGGGTCCCCAGAGGGCTCCTTGCTGCTAAGGTGTCATTGCTCAGGGCACAGAGCGAAGGAATATTTGCAAGTGCACGCGCATGTTCACATCTACTTTTTCTTTATCTGTATTGTATATATTGAAGACTGGGAGTTGATTCCAATGTCTTTAATTCAAGTTCAACACTGCCAGGTTCATTACATTTTCTCTCTTTCCAAATTATAACTCCTTTCTCCAGCTCCTCGGTTTTGTAGCGTCAAGAACCCTGCTGCCGTTGTCCTCGGCACATGTACCTCTTTAGTCAGCTGTCCCCTGTCAGGCACACCTGGCCCTCCTCCCTCACATGGGCCCCTTCACACTCAGCCCCAGCCCCCGGCCCCTGCCAGGCCACTGCCACGCACAGCTCCCACATGGGGCCCCTCACCTTTCCTGAGCTCCGACACCCAGAGCCAGGGTGCCTCCTCCACAGACGCCCACTTGCCCTGCGAGGCTGTGACAGCAACCCTGAGCTCTGCTTGGGTGCCTCTCCCATGTGTTTGACTCTCCATGACCTGTCTCTTCTGTTCCTCATTTAAATTATGGGGAACAGATGTTATGGTGTCCAGCAAATGGAAGCACAAAGGTTGGGCTTTGGAGTCCAGACAAGCTGGCCGTTAGCCCCGCAGCACTCCGTTCCGTGTGCTGCATGAGCAGCGTCCGCCCTGAGTGACAGCACACCCGAGTCCTGTGGGCCAAGGGAACTGCCCACAGGGGGATGTGCCAGCACCTGCCCGTCCCCTGGAGACATTGGCTACAGCCACACGCTCCCTCGTTCTGTCGAATTGTGTGACTTGGCCACGCTAATAAAAATCAGCTGTGTCGGTGCCTCCCACGGAGGTGTACAGGCCCCAGGAGGAAGCAGCCCCCAGCAGTCGGCTCTGTTATCACAGCCTCTTGGATGTGGGGGCCCCTGCCCTGAGGTTTTTACCAACAGCTTAGCTATGCAAAATACAGAACTGAGTAGTGATGAAAAGCAATTTTTAAAAATAATTTAATCGGCTGTTGTCTCAGGAAGCTGTAGTTCTTGATGACCTTTTCGCATCAGTGAAATGCTGGAACCAAACGGAACCAGCTCTCGAGAGCTGTGGGTGCGCGGTCTGGGCATATCTCATTTTCTTGCACCCAAGTCTGTATATGTGTGGCTGCAGCTGGCCGGCAGCTTCAAACTCAGCAGTTTCAGAGAAGAAAAGGTGCATAGCTCCTGCCTTCAGGACAGGCTCAGGGGTCCACTTCAGCCCATGCCACCAAGGCACACCTGGCCCTCCTCCCTCACATGGGCCCCTTCACACTCAGCCCCAGCCCCCGGCCCCTGCCAGGCCACTGCCACGCACAGCTCCCACATGGGGCCCCTCACCTTTCCTGAGCTCCGACACCCAGAGCCAGGGTGCCTCCTCCACAGACGCCCACTTGCCCTGCGAGGCTGTGACAGCAACCCTGAGCTCTGCTTGGGTGCCTCTCCCATGTGTTTGACTCTCCATGACCTGTCTCTTCTGTTCCTCATTTAAATTATGGGGAACAGATGTTATGGTGTCCAGCAAATGGAAGCACAAAGGTTGGGCTTTGGAGTCCAGACAAGCTGGCCGTTAGCCCCGCAGCACTCCGTTCCGTGTGCTGCATGAGCAGCGTCCGCCCTGAGTGACAGCACACCCGAGTCCTGTGGGCCAAGGGAACTGCCCACAGGGGGATGTGCCAGCACCTGCCCGTCCCCTGGAGACATTGGCTACAGCCACACGCTCCCTCGTTCTGTCGAATTGTGTGACTTGGCCACGCTAATAAAAATCAGCTGTGTCGGTGCCTCCCACGGAGGTGTACAGGCCCCAGGAGGAAGCAGCCCCCAGCAGTCGGCTCTGTTATCACAGCCTCTTGGATGTGGGGGCCCCTGCCCTGAGGTTTTTACCAACAGCTTAGCTATGCAAAATACAGAACTGAGTAGTGATGAAAAGCAATTTTTAAAAATAATTTAATCGGCTGTTGTCTCAGGAAGCTGTAGTTCTTGATGACCTTTTCGCATCAGTGAAATGCTGGAACCAAACGGAACCAGCTCTCGAGAGCTGTGGGTGCGCGGTCTGGGCATATCTCATTTTCTTGCACCCAAGTCTGTATATGTGTGGCTGCAGCTGGCCGGCAGCTTCAAACTCAGCAGTTTCAGAGAAGAAAAGGTGCATAGCTCCTGCCTTCAGGACAGGCTCAGGGGTCCACTTCAGCCCATGCCACCCTGTCCCATCCTCCCAGGCTGCAAGGGCACACCCGGGGCTTCAGAGTCGCCCTCAGCTGAGTCCCAGGGAGGCCACGGGGCTTGGAGCGAATGCCACACACATTAGATCTGGGCTTTTCTTCAGAAAGTCAAGCTTCCTTCCCACCAACTGGTTCAAACATCAGGGCTCATGATGCATTTGGGGGCGCAGTTGCACAGGGACAGGGCAGCTCCACTTAGCCTTGAAAAGCGCTAGCCATCCGCTATTGCTGTGAGCTGGGCTGCACGTGAGCTGCCTGAGCGTCAATTTCAGGGTGACCAGGTGTAGGAAACGGAGTCATAGGAGCGTTCTGTGTCCAACCTGGGGGCCGCGGGATTGGTGAGAAACAACATAGCAGTTTAGTCTCAGGACCTGCCACCAGTGGCTGGAAAGTTCTTTTGTTCTGTTTGAAAACCAAGAAGATCACATTTTACTCATTTCTGGATTATGAATTTACATAGCATACACATATGTTTAGATATGTAACAAACTGTAGGAAGAAACTGCCTATGGGGCATCCTCATACTGTAGTTCGAGGTAAACGTGTCTCTGCACCGATGGGCAAGCAGCAAGACAAGCTCCAGCACTCCTACACTGAAGGGTGGCTTATCCCCTCTCTACTTACAGTCAATCATGGCCTTCCTGCATGGTTGCCGTGCCCTGCCACATGGCACCCAGGAAGTAGATTAAAGAACCACGCCCAGTTCTTGGTTCTGCCGTGGCTTCCCCAGCCCTGTGACCAGGGAGGACCAAGTTTGGCCCAAAGAAAGCATTTAGGGTCCTGATCCTACAGCCTGGCACCCATGGGCCATGGCCCCATGAGCGAGCGTGTGCTCCCCACGGGTTGATGGCACTTCTTGATTTAACCCCCATTTCTCACATTCCCCTCTGGCTGAAGTCCGTGGCAGGCCCTGAGGCTAAAAACCAAACCTGCCTGGTGGGCATTGAGGAAGCTTGGGCCTGTGCTTTGGGCATTGTCACCAACCTCAGCCTCAGGGCAGAAGCCCATTCCTGTTTTGCAGAAGGGCAGAGTGGAGCTCTGGAGAAAGAAGCCATACCCCGTAACCCACAGCCAGGCTGCGTGCTGCCCCTCTGCCA